ACTATTTTATTAGGTAAAATTTGACTAATTATAATTATAATAATAATAATATTAAATATTATTAGTGATAGCTTTTTTGCTATATTACCTAGTCAAATATGACTTACATTTTTGACGAATTCATTTTAAGTAAGTGAGAAATAAATTTTAGTAATTTATTATTTTTACGTTTTGTTTATCATCAATATTAATCAGGGGTTTATTGTAAGCAAGGCTACTTTTTGTTAAAATCTCAAATAATTTTAAATGACCGGGCATTAATTATGTAAAAAATGGTGTATTGTAAAAAACCTATAAATTTTTTTGACAACAAAATGAAACAAATAAATTGTAAATGTTTATTATGTTTATAAGAGCGGAAGTATAAATTGTTTTATTTTGTTTTTTTTTATAAAGACCATTGTTAAATATGGAATTAGTTTCCCACATTTAAAACGCAAATTGGCGTTTAATTAATTAACTGCAATATAACCTTTACATCATTTTTTAATGTTTATAGATAAATTATAACAACTTTTATTTTAACTTAAAACTTGTTCTGAATCAACCGGGATGTACAATGTACAATTTTATGAAGGATCATCCACAAAATATATGTAAAATAATTGCTAATTTACGAGTGTACATGTACATTGTTAATTTAATAATACCTAGTGCATTTAGTATTATTTTTTTATGAATAGTTATTTGGTTGCCTTGAATTATCCCTGTAATCGACAATTTGTAGAGATTCTATCTAAAACATACACAAAACGAACAAAACGGTTGTGGCAAGGCTATATCGCATCAAAGTCTTTTAATTATTTTTTATGTAACTAATATACAATAAAATATGTGATCATTATAATAGTAGACTGGGCCAAAAAAATCAACTATTTTTTTTTTTGAAAAGTATATCGAAAATATTGTTTGGGGTGACAAAAAAAATTATGGTGAAAGTTTGAGTCAATAATATTAATATTAAGAGGTCTATCATCGCAATTTAAACTCCCAAACCATTGAGTTTTATAAAATTGTCTTAGGAATCTTTTTTGAAGAAAATTGAAATTGAAATGTTCTAGAATATCTATCGGTTTTTTTCCGGGTACTGATTTTTACATGAATTACAAAATTCAAAATTTAAAAGATCAAATTGTAAAACTGTACCAATTTTTAAGGCATGATTGTAAGAAAATGGTTCATCTGACGGGAAATTCCAATTAAACCTTTTTTGTAGAGCATTCAATTTTCTTCAAAAAATACTCTTAAGTCAATTTTGTTAAACTCAATGGTTTGGGAGCTTGAGGCAAAAACTCGCTCGGAAAACAAATCTAAAATTGCGATCTCCTCTTAATATTAATATTATGGATTCAAACTTTCACCATAATTTTTTTTGTCACCGCAAACAATATTTTCGATATACTTCACAAAAAAAATAGTCGATTTTTTTGGCCCAGTCTAATATACAGTGTCACCAAAAAATGGAGTACAAAAAAACACCATGAATATTAAATAAATATTATTAATGGGTTGTTTAAAAAAATATTTTTCAAAATAAAATAAATACGACATTACGACATTTAGATAACATATAAATATTTGAGAAGGTAATGCAGTAAATTCTAAGTATTTATTTACTTGGAAAAATACTCGTACAGGCAGAAAATTCTATAAATTTAGAACTTTACTCCTTTAATTAGGTAATTAGAAAATTGATCTAATTTAGGACGATTTAACGCACGCAATTTTAAAACGACATTATAGTGCCACGAGCGATTTTTGCAAAAATATATAATTTTCGAAGAAAATATGAAAAAAAATTGTTCAATTTATAAACAAGTTTTATACTTTGATTCTATAATTATATAAAATTGTAATTATTATTAATAACAAGTTTAATTAGTTTACCTATTACATATTGCTTTTTATAAGAATTTAAGTTTTTTATAATTTTCAAATTTGGATAAAAATATCAAAGAAAAAGTGCATAAAACAAAATAATAAAATTCGTTGAATTTTAATAAAATTCGTTGAATTTTTTTTTAAAAAGTTATATTGTTGACCGAATATAAAAATTTTGGCTTGTAAAACAATTTTACAATGTTAATTCAAACAAATAAACACAAAAGATTAATCCAAAATGTCGTCATAGGCTAGAGCAAAATTCTAAACAAATAATCAAAAAAATGTGTTTTTAATATTTCAGAAATATTCGGGCATATATTTTTATATGGTTTAAAAGAAAAATGTTGTTTTGTGCATTTGTGCACTTGGTTTTTTTATTTAATTTTTCTAGAAAACGATAATTTTCAAAAAAAACTGTAAAATTTAGAAAATAGAAAATGTAGAAAATTGAAAAAGTTGTTTATCGCATATATGTACAGGGTGATCCCCTATATTGTCGCCCCCCTTTAACTTTTTTATTTTAAGTGTCCGAAAAAATTTCAAAGTGTGGTTATGTAGTAGGGGTGTCAATCCCGGGATCCCGAAATCCCGGGGTCCCGGGATCCCGTAAAAAATCCGATCCCGAAAATCCCGGGATTAAAAGTCCCAATCCCGGGATCTTAGTAATATGTTACAAGGAATAAAATAGACTTTTTTAAGCGTATGACATTTTTTATATTATAATACTCATGAGCATATATATAAACAATTCATTTTTTTACTCAGTTCAAGTCAAATTATTATACACCGCCGTACAATAATGAAAATATATTGAAATAACATAGCAAGAGTGGTTCCATCTATAGCATAAAATCAGCAAAGAAAATGTAAAATTACAGGTCACTGTAGAATAAATTTATGTACATAACCTATAATATAACATATTTCAAACGTCAAGCCTGAAAAAATGTCACAAACTTGATAATTTCAATGTAGGTTACAGCCCTAATTGGAACTCACCAAGGCCTGATTGATAAAATAAATGGAATTATTTGTTAATAGGGGTAAACGTGGCCACGTTTACCCCACGCGTGGGTACAATGTGCCTACGAATTCTTGAAAACCATTCTTCCGACTAGTGTGAAGTCCGAAAGATATCGTTCGTTAGTTTGTTTGTTGTTTTATTTTAAATTGGTTTTAAAATTAATGATATATATTTTTTCGGGACTGATCCCGGGATCCCGGGATTAGTTACCTTTGGTCCCGAAAGGCCCGGGATTGGAAAATGGGCTCGGGATTGACACCCCTATTATGTAGGTACTAAAAAATACTTATTTTCTACGTATAAAGAAAATTGGAAAATTGATCAGTATACAGGGAAAAACAAAAAGTTAATTTTTTTTAATGGATCACCCTATATATGTATTTATGTATTATTACTCCTTTAATTAGGTACTTAGAAAATTAATCTAATTTGGGAAGATCTAACGCACGCAATTTTAAAACGACATTATAGTGCGATTTTTGCAAAAATATATAATTTTCGAAGAAAATATAAAAAAACTGGACAAGTTGTATACTTTGATTCTATAATTATGTTGTAATTGTAATTATTATTAATAACAAGTTTACCCATTACATATTTTTTGCACAGGAATATACAGTTTTAAAAATATTGCTTTTTATAAGCATTTAAGTTTTTATAATTTTCAAATTTGGAAAAAAATATCAAAGAAAAAGTGCATAAAACAAAATAATAAAATTCGTTGAATTTTAATAAAATTCGTTGAATTTTTTTTTATTTTTAAGTTATATTGTTGACTGAGTGATTTCGTATATTTAAATATAAAAATTTTGGCTTGTAAAACAATTTTACAATGTTAATTCAAACAAATAAACACAAAAGATTAATCCAAAATGTCGTCATAGGCTAGAGCAAAATTCTAAACAAATAATCAAAAAAATGCGTTTCTAAATTTTCGGGAATTTATTTTTAATGTTTTAAAAGAAAAATGTTATTTTGCACTTGGTTTTTTTATTTAATTTTTTTAGAAAACAATAATTTTCAAAAAATATAGTAAAAGTAGAAAATTGAAAAAGTTGTTTATCGCATATTTTACTTAAACCCCAAAACGGTCGTAGGGAAAACAGTTATGAATTTTGTAGTTTTTTTTATACAAACAACTTCGTTAAAAAAATACATATATACAGGGTGTCCCATAATTAACGTGCAATACTTTAACAACAGATTCTACGTATGTACATAAATAGGAAAAAAATCATACAAACATAGATCGAGAAATGCTTTCTAAGGGAGCTACAGCCCCCGAAAGAGGAGCCCCTGAAGATGGTTTTTATTTAATATCTCCAAAACCGTTCAAGACAAAAACGTGAAATTTTGGGAATTGATCACACAAAAAGTTAATAACAATTTCAAATTGTCCATGAGGAGTGGGTCAGATAGATAGGGAGTAAGTGTAAAACTAATTTAACTTTTTTTTTCGTATCTTTTCTCAATTTACAAAATTTCATTTTTCTATCTTGAACGGTTTTGGAGATATTAAATAAAAACCATCATCAGGGACTCCTTTTTCGGGGCTGTAGCTCCCTTAGGAGCATTTTTCGATCTATGCTTATAGGTTTTTTCCTATTTTTGTAGGTAGAATCTGCTGTTATAATATTTGAATTCTTTGCTTTCCAGAAATATAAATAAAAAAAATAAGTTTTCACCTTAATCCGCAAAGTTGGGGTTAAGCCTTTCTTATAAGCCCCAAACGATTCATGCAAAAAAATTAATATGTTTAATAAATTTTTACCGAAAATAGCCTTTTCACCAAAGTACAGTCAATATCTATTATAAGGTTTGTAAAACTGACTACCATGGTATTATTTTGACAGACTATTTACTTTTTTTAGAACAACCTGAATTAAATATTAAATTATTTTAACTTTTAACTTACACTGTGTTCCCAAGTTTCTTAAAGACATAATTATGGTATTTGGTTTAAGGCAGTTTTTAATCCGTTCATATATTTTAACATTATTTTTTGGATAAATATAAAAATGCTTGAATAAATAAATATTTTGCAATATAAAATGAATGAATATTAAAATGGAAAAATAAAAGACTTACTTACCATGAGTATATTTTGACACACAGCACTTTGAGGATTAATTGGGAGACAAATTGAGAAAAATCTCAACTGGCACAACAGCACAATTCAAACGTCAATGAATTTCATTGCCGCGTCGGCAATTACCTTCGCCAGCGGACACAATACACATTATGTTCGCAACAAACGGGATGAAATCACCAGTCGGCGGAAAAATAGATCGATCGCGGCATCGTCATCGATACATCGATGCGTCGTCGTTGGCCACGGTATCGTCCCGACACGGATCCGATCGATCTTTTTGGGCGGAGGCGAAATTTCTTGGTCGTCTTCGAATTCAACTGCGAATAACGCAAATTGGTAAATTGGACTGGATACGTTCTCTTTCCTTTGACGAGATTATCTCGCGGGCGGATCGGAAGGGGGGGCAGAGGACCACGTGAGCGACAAGCCGAGATAAAATTCAGCGAGCATCTTCGGCTTTGCAGGTAACGGAGTGGGCCGTTCAAGACTTGAACTTCAAGTGCCAAGACTACCTGTTTTCTGATTGTAAGAAAACTACTATATGCCTGTATATATATATATGAATATATATAATATTGATAGTATTGCAACCAGTGGCGGACTAAAGCAGAAGGGCCCCCAAATCTTAAGTAGTCTTTCTCAGTCCAACAAAAAACTATTTAAAATTTAGGGCCGGCGAAAAAAACGGTTTTTTTTTCAGAAAAATTGACTTGCATTTTTCTTATTTTATTCAAAGAGTAACACGAAAAAATGCAAAAGTCATTTTTTTTTAAAATTTACAAATTATTACAGAAATGTAGGTACTATCCCTACACTGATATCGAGAAAATAGCTATTTACATACCATGGGAGGAAAATATTGCTTTTCCTCCCGCAAATAGTTTGATGCCCGACGCGAAGCGAAGGGCATTAAATATTCAAGGGAGGAAATGCATTTTCCTCCTGAGGTATGTATATAGTATTTTCTATTACCTTTTAACGGTTTTAAGACATTTTAAGCGTTCCGGTTCCTTTTACTAACCCGGTATGGGGCTATAAAATTATGACAAAATATTAAGTAGGTTTTGCGTTGCCGACGTTATGTTGACAAGGCTATGGTATTTTTGGTAATACCAACATAACAGTTTTTATAAGCTGTCATAATGTTTATCATAAATTTAATAGTTGCAATTAATTTCCTTCCTTAAAAATCTAAAATAGTGAATATGAATATAGTTTGTTAAAAGAATGTTAAAAGAATGGTTGGACAAGCGCGGAGTAAATCTTTTTCCTACAAAATCAAATAGGGTTAGACAAGGTACAAAAACTCTTGCCAATGTAAAATTTAAAAAAAAAAGAGGGAGGAAATTTTTTTCTCCTTGGGAGAAAAAGAGGCATTTTCTAGTAAGGTAGTAGAAAAAAGTAAATTTCCGACGCTAAATATAATCATAATACCCAACCCAGCTTTAACATAAAATATAAACTGATTAAAAAAAATACCCCGGAGATTTAAAGTTTCTAAAGAATAACATGCTATAAAAAAAGAAACAAAATATAAAGTCAAAACTAAAAATTTTTTAATATTTTGGTTTCGGGAGCCCCTAGCTGCAATCCATCAGGAATTAGAAAAAATGGTTAATCTTAGACTGCCATGAGTGGGCCCCTAGATTTTCAAAATTTAAATTATTAACAAGTTCAAATATAAGTATGCATATTAGACTGGGCCAAAAAATCAAATATTTTTGTTTGGGGGGACAAAAAAAAATTATTGTGTTTGAGTTTGAGTCCATAATATTAATATTAAGAGGTGTATCATCGCAATTTTAATTTTTTTCCCCTCATCAAGTTTTTGTTTCAGAACTCCCAAACCATTGAGTTTAACAAAATTTACTTAAAAATATTTTTTTAAGAAAACTAAATGCTCTACAAAAAGGGTTAAATGAAATTTTTCGTCAGATGAACCGTTTCCTTAAAATCATGCCCTAAACATTGGTATAGTTTTACATTTTGATCTTTTAACTTTGGAATTTTAAAATTCATGTAAAAATTAGTACCCATAAAGAAACCGATAAATATTCTTATGTAAAATCAAATGCTTTACAAAAAAAGCCTCTTAACATTTTTGGCTAAATTCATTCAATCAAAAGTTATTCAAGGTTAAAGTTGAAGTCAAAACGAAATTCTTGTCAAAATAACTTTTGATAGAGTGAATTTGGCCAAAAATGTTAAGAGGCTTTTTTTGTAAAGCATTTGATTTCACATAAGAATATTTATCGGTTTTTTTAAGGGTACTGATTTTTACATGAATTTTAAAATTCCAAAGTTAAAAGATCAAAATGTAAAACTATACCAATGTTTAGGGCATGATTTTAAGGAAACGGTTCATCTGACGAAAAATTTCATTAACCCTTTTTTGAAGAACATTTAATTTTCTTAAAAAAATATTTTTAAGTAAATTTTGTTAAACTCAATGGTTTGGGAGTTCTGAGACAATAACTTAATGAGGGAAAAAAAAATTAAAATTGCGATGGTAGACCTCTTAATATTAATATTATGGACAAACTTTCACAATAATTTTTTTTTGTCGCCCCAAACCATATTTTCAATATACTTTAAAAAAAAATAGTTGATTTTTTTGGCCCAGTCTAATACATATAAGTTCATAACCCTGATTATATTAATAGTGTTGCAAAGGACTTGCTAAGAGGATCTACTAACAAATTTAAAATAACAAAACATTAATATTTACAAAACAATCACATTATTTCATAAGCAGACTAGGGGCCCCATTTTATTTTACCGCCCCGGGCCCCCGACGCGTTTAGTCCGCCACTGGTTGCAGGGTATCTGCTTTCTAATTTTTATGATATCTTTTGAAATTCTCTTCTGGAAAATCCCATGTCATGTGGGTCGCAATTATACCTGTTCTTGTACAATGTACCTACATACTTACACTTTAACTTTTTTGCAAATTAATGAAGACCGTTATGGCATTCAAAAATTAAAATGACGCGCGATAAATAATAAATCTTGAATATCAAAAAACCTTTATTTTTTTAATAATTTTTATGTTTAATTGGCATGTAAAATATAAAAAGTTTGTCAATAATTAAAAAGTGGTGATTTAGTTTTGATTTTGATTCCAAACAATTTATTCCTTTTTGCTATTATAATAAAATGTCAACCTCAGCTTCCTTATTTTTAATCAAAGCGTTAGAAAATCCATATTTTAGAATATGTAATCTACTATTTATTTATAATCAAACAACATTACTAGTCCCACATTGTATCTTCTTGATATATAGGTTTAAAAAAGAATATAAAAAAATGGCAGGGCAATTTTGGGAAAAATGTTCAGTTTTGGATTTCAAAAAAGGAAAAATAATGGGTGGATTAAATTTTGAAAAAATTAATGATCAAAAAATTGACCTTAACCTTTACCGCACTTTATGAAAAGTCACCGCACTGTTCTGGTATTAAATAATAACCTCCCAGAGAGCATTAAAGGGATAAACACCAATAGTCAATTTAAAAGAGAACTTAACGTTTTTTAATTAGTAAATGTCACTATTATTTAGTAAATATTTTATATATTTTATTATTCATTAATTCTTGTTTGTGTGAAAGACTGTATATTTATAAACTAAATCTAATTTACTTTTAGATTTTAATATTGTACTTGTGTTTATTTTTTATTTTTTTCTTCTATTTATTTATGTATTGACTTGTCCTATACATATGTATTTATGTCTTTGGATTAATAAACTATCATATAACCTTCATTAAAAGTTTTTTTTTAATTTTATAAAGATGTGAAAAAAATATATATGAAAAATAGGAAAAATAGGAAAAACCTTAAATTTTTTAAATTAAATGAAATTTAATAAAAAACCCATTTTAATTTACCTATTTATATTATTTACTTATTATATTAAAATTAGAATTTTACCCCATTTAATTATTTGATTAAGAAAGCTAAGGTTTATATTTGTTTTTTTTATAGAAAAATAATAATAAGAATAAAACCGCTATTAAAAAGGAGTCGAAAATGAAAATAGGTAAAATGGGTTAAATTTTCGAATATAATTCCTAATGACCTAATTAGGCTAATATTCATCTCTTTTTTTCAGGATTTTTCTTAATTTCTTAAATGAATAGATATCCTATAATATTTAATAACATTTAGTACTTGAAATAATTTAACTGAACTTTTTTATGTTTTAGAATTTTTCAAAGCATTAAATTAACTTATTTAATAAAAAATATTTCTGACAAGTTTCAACTCTTAATATTAATATTCAATGGGTATTTTTTTTAAATCAATCTTTTATAATTTTTATAATTCTGGCAATAAATAATTGATAAAAAAATGTAGAATTTGGTTTGTTAAAATATTTCCAGACATACATATTTTTATATGTTAGCAGAGCCAAATTTTGATTTTAATCTTGTTGTAATAATGTCTCAGAAGTCCCAAGAGAAATCGTACAGGCGCCAGTGGAGTATATTGTTCAATAGGTTAACTATTGATGAATTATTAATGGGGGTCATTATAATATTATTATTTAAAGGAAAAATCCGTTATTAATTTTAAATATTTAATAATAAAAAAAATTACTTAATTTTTTTATGTTGTACAACTAAAATAAAATTAAAGATTTAATTAAAAGATTTTCCCGTTTAAGTTAAATAAAACTTGAAAAAATGGCATAAAATAGAATATTTTAAATTAAAGCAAACTGCATTGTTTTGATAATTATTCATATTATAAGAAATGTTATAAATTAATATAAATTTTAATTTAAAATGATAAATGTTAAGCCTAAATATATGTAAGATTATTACAAAGAAAATATTAACCTTTTTCATATGACATATTTGTAAAACGGTTTTCATTAATATTTTTAAGCCTTCAAAATAAAAATAATTTAATATTAAAATTTGTTTTTAATTTTACCAGTATAATAACTACAATAAAGTCAAATATATGTAATAAATATATAAAATATAAAATTTATTTCATGAATTTCTTTGAAACTTGTCTTATAAACAATTATTGAACTGTCCGCAATTTTAGGAAAATATTTGTAGAATATCCAAAACATTTTAATATCATGAAAACCAATTCAAAAATACAACAAAAAAGGACTTATTTAGTTTAAATTATAATAATAATTAACTTTAAAAATAAATAAACAAATTTTAATATTTTATTTCTGTCTATCTTTTTGTAAATATATAAATAGCACAAAAACATTAAAATAATAAAAATTAAATCCTAAAAACCTTGTGTTTTGATGAAGTGCTACCCTGTATAGAATAATTTAATCTTTCACCATTTTTTAATTTATAAAATTGTAATGTAGGTATGTAAAAATTAGGGAAAAGATTTGTATACACAAACAAATCAAAATCACTTGCATTGTATTTTATAAAAATTTAAAAAAAACTTACCTGTTCCCTGCACTGCAGCAAATCAAAATAGGTGATATCCTCCCCATTAATGCTTATTTTACCTGTTCCAGGGGACCTAATCGTTACATCACCCCTAGCACTTTTCCTGAGACATTCTAAAATTCAATAAATTATATTTTTATGAAGAATATAATTCATAATTCTTTTTTTACCATAGGTAGTAACAAAAGCCCTTCCATTTTCATCATACTGGGGTTTCGGAGCATCATGAGCTTTTGTCTGACTCATCAATGGTTTTCTATATTCCATTATAAAATCTTTAACTTTATAGGAATACGGTAAGCTACACAATCTTTCAAATGCTTGCACAAAACTTTCATAGTCTTTATCGCCTATTGTTTCAACCAATTTGGCTTCCAAAGAATCTTTATCTATCCATTGGTAACCAGACAAATTTCTAAATTGTGTTTATGACGTTTAAAATTAAAAATTGTACTGATTTAAAAAAAAATTAACAAAGAACTTACATTTTTTGATCCTTATCAGGCCTCATTCCTTTTCTAATCATGGCATCTTCAAATCTATTTAAATCGACTATATGTTGTACTGTATCATGCAAAACTTGATAAAAGCTGGCTTTTCCCGTGTAAAACAAAAAATGATGTGGCCTTCCGGTTTCATCAAACTCTGCGGCTTTTCTTTGAGGGAAAACCTCCTCTGGAGGTTTCATCATTGGCCTAGCTTTTTTCTCAAACAATCCCGAAGGAAAGAGATACTCGATAGCATTCTGAAAACCAAAATTAGCGGAAATATGTATTATTTGTGAGATAAACTCACGTCTACATCATGTTGTGTAAACGTCTCAGGACTTTCCCCCATCATATTCGCCAAATGGCGTTTTCCCAACTGGTATTCCTGATTCTGCTCGTTCATAAATTCATCGTGTTCTCTTGCTCGGTCCAAATAGGCCTTCATAGCCTTACTTATATTTTGTTTCTCTTCGTGAGTTTGCTTTTCGGAATGGCATAATTGCGATGTATTGCTAAATTTACAAGCCTGCAAAAATGTTGGTTATACAAGTATATTAATGTTTAAAATGGGTTTACCTGGGTAGTAAATGGTCCAAGGCATTGTAAACCTTGGTTGGTCTGTATATGTTTCGTTTTTATAACATTAAACACTGTTTTTAACATTTTTACACCATTTGCAATCAGTTTTTAGAGAACCAGGCACGGTCGCGGCACTCTAATGGACAAGGATAGAACATTCGAAATTAGTTGGCGCAAAACTCCCAGAGGGAGCACTATTCATTTTTTTTAATCTTCATGTTGGTAAAACTGATTTCGGACACTTTGCGCAGGCGTAGCGTTATTTTATAATCCGCAGAGATGTTTTTAAGTTTACTTTCATAATTTACTTTCATTATTGTTTTGTGTTTATCTGTGTTATATTGTGTTTTGTAATCTTTGGTATCGTGTTTTAAACAATTTATTATTACATATTTGTTGTGTATTTATTTGAATCGTGTGGTTTGTCATGTAAGTATTAAAGTATTTATTTGTTATGTAGGTTATGTATTATGATAAAACCGTTGAGTGAAGTCAATGATAAAACCAAAATTTTATGTGAAGGGCTTATTTCAAGAACATGATGTCCAACACTTACAATTAATTATTTCAAATTTCTATGTTAGTACTGTTTAATTACATTAAATATATTTTAATATTTCTCCTAATTTTCTTGGTATATTATATAATATTTTGTATTTATTTAATATGATTATTAAAATCAAAAGCTAATGTAGATTTGTTTGTAATATATGTTTAATTTTTTAGCTTCAAAATGTCTCGTCCCTGTTCAGTTAAAAACTGTGAAGATAGGAAGTCAAAACGGCACCAGTTTCCTGATTTTAACAAAGATCCAGAGCTTTTTAAAAAATGGGTTGATTTATGCCAAAATTTGGAGTTGCAGAATTTGGAGCCACACTTTGTTCGTAAAAACAAAAAAGTATGCCATAAGCATTTTTCTGGAGAACATTTAATGCAAAATGATCGAATTAGTAAAGTTGCTTATCCCACTTTGTTTTTACCTCAAGAAACTGAAGCGTATGGTAAGTTATATTTTTATTATTTAAATATTTTAAATACATTCAAGTATTATTTATTTATTGTTGAATTTTAACAATTTGTGAAGGCAATTAAGTTTTGGAATATACCACCACTAAATTTTAAGTTTTAAATTTTTTTGAATATTGGTTAATCTAAATATTTCTAAATGTGTATTACTACCTGTAAATATCTTTATTACCTGTAAATAGTTTTGTTTTATTACTTTAATAACTAAGGGTTTCTACCTGAGGATCATTTCAACTACCTGAAATTTTCCAAAATTTTATTATTTCTCCATTTTGCTTATGAATTTTGTTTTTGTTAATAAATAATATAATATATAATTTACTTTCAGGCGCTGCAGTGTTTAATGAGTCTGTAGAAGAAACTGTTTTAAATGAAGAAGCTGAATTCGTTTTAACAGGCATTATTACACAGTCTCCTAGCACTTCTCAAGGATTAAAGCGCAAATCAGATTACAACAGGAAAAATACAAGAACTCCCATAAATGGTAAATAGGTACCTTCTCAAAAGTAATTTAAACTCATCTAAAGTTTTATTCTTGAATTTTAAATAAAATTGTGTCACTCATTAAATTAAGTTTACATTATAGACATTTCATACATTTTACATATTTTATACATTTTATTTTTATACAATATATTTATATATGGTTATTTATCTACTTCTATTGTCTTCTTAAAAGTAATTTAAACTCATCTAAAGTTTTATTCTTGAATTTTAAATAATATTGTGTCACTCATTAAATTAAGTTTACATTATAGACATTTCATACAGTTTACATATTTTATATATTTTATTTTTACACAATATATTTATATATGGTTATTTTTCTACTTCTATTGTCTAATATTTACATTATAACTGATTCGCCTTCTGCAATTGCTTATAATGTTGCAAATTTTGCTTATTATATGGCAGCTATAAAATTTTAAAAGTAAATTTTTATTACTGATTAAAAAATGTAAAAAAAATTACTTTTTAATAATACTATGTGTTTTTCACCAAAATAGTATTTTAGTACTGTACTGGGAAATAATTGTTTTTTCAGAGGTTTTTAAACTACATAATTGCTTGGGAGTTTGATATTTTTGTGTTTAAATTTTATGAAACATGGAAAAATAAAATAATTAGGTAATTTGCTATTATTTTACACACTAAATGATTTAAGATATTTATAATGTTACCACAATTACATTTATATAATATACAAACCAATTCCACAAAATTTAAACACTGTTAAATTCCAAATATAAAAAAATTAATATTTATTATATAAAAAAATAAATTTTATATTAAAGGGCATAAATTATATAGTTATAAAAATAATTGCATAATATGTATGTGTATGTATGTACATGTATTCTAAAATGTTTAAATTTCAATCTTGTATTTTTTAAATTCCATTATAGTTTATATATTATATATATATATTATTTAATAATGCCAAAAAAATATAAGAAATTTAAACAATTATATCTTGTATTATTTACCACCATATACTAATTTTTTTATATTTCAGAGTGTATGCTGCTGGCGAATGCTGGTGTCCAATACCAAAATGAGTTGACGCCAAAAGCAAAGAGACTTTACTTAAGTGCCAAAAGGATCCGTCGACAAAATGCCATTTTAAAAAAACGAACTCGTTTGTTAAAAACTCGTTTAAAGGATTTATCGCCAGAATCATTGTTGGATAATATTACTGCAAATCTTCCCTCACACATCACAGGCTTTATCAAAAGCCAGATAAATTTATGGGACAAAAAAGGACAGGGAAAACGTTATAATTTGCAGGATAAAATTTTAGGGCTTGTAATATACAAGCAATCTCCAAAAAGCTATAGGCTCTTGGAAAAATTATTTGCACTGCCATCCTCAAAGACTTTGAGATTATTATTAAAAAAAATACCAATTAAAACTGGAATAAATGATTTTCTTTTTGAGATACTAAGGAAAAATCTTGAAAATCGCCCTCAAATAGAGATGGCCTGTATTTTAATTTTTGATGAAATGGCAATTGAGGCGCATGTAAATTTTAACGGCAAAGAATTTGTTGGGTTTGAGGATTTGGGAGATGATTCATCACAAGAAATAGCTGACCATGCCCAAGTCTTTATGCTTAGAAGTGTGGATGGCAGGTGGAAACAGCCAGTCTATTATGGATTCAGCAAAAGCGCCACTAAAAGTATTTCCTTGTGCAGAATTATAAAAGCCTTAATACAAAAATGCCATAGCATTGGTATTAGAGTGGTTGCGACAGTTTCTGATCAAGGAACAAACAACTGTGCAGCAATTAACCATTTAATGACTACCACCGTTAATGCAAATGATAATGCACATAATATTAAATTTTTTTATGTAGAGGATAAAAAAATTGTACATATTTATGACCCACCTCACCTATTAAAGGGCATAAGAAACAATTTAATTACAAAGAATTTAATATGGGAGAAGAAAGATGAAAAATTGGTTGCTTCCTGGGATGATGTATATACGCTTTACAAAATGGACAACATGCCAGGAGAGATGAGAGCTATACACAAGATCACAGAATACCATGTGAATCCTGAAAAAATAAAAAAAATGAAGGTTTCATATGCAGCCCAAGTTTTCAGCCATTCTGTAAGCTCATTAATGAATCTTTTAATAAGATTAGGTAATACCAAAAAATATTATTAAATGTTAAATATTAATTAAATAAAAATTTCAGATGCTACAACTCCTGAAGGGATTAAACTTCCAAAGTCTGCCACAGGAACAGCAGCAGTTCTAAAGTTTTTCGACGATCTTTTCGACAGTGTCAATGGGACAAGCTACCTAAGCACCAAAAAACCTTTAAAATGCTGCTTCACGAAATCATCAGGGCATTCAAAGTTTTGGTCAGAAGCGAGAAGCCAGCTCAGTTCAATGTACTATGTTAAAAATGGTGCTAAAGCATATGTACCCTCACTAAAAAATTGGGTGTATACTCTAAATGGCATTGAGGAGACTTTTAAAATCTTGTCAAGAGAATTTGATTTGAAAGAATTAAAAACCCGAAGTCTTAACCAAGATCCCATAGAAAATTTTTTTGGGCAGATGAGACAGCAAGGCTCTCGAAACATTAATCCAACAGCAAGCCTCTTCCAAAGCCATTTTAAAACACTATTAATTAATAATTTAACAAAGAGACATTCTGCATCTGGAAATTGTGAACAGGATTCGTCCCAAATAATTTCAAGTGTGGAAAATTTGTTAGTGCAGAATGTTTCTGAAGAAATGGCTTTGGAAGATTTGGTTCTTTTGGAACAAAATTGCAGCCTCCTGGATAAAATAAAGATAATGCCAGTTGCCTATGTGAGTGGATATCTTAGCAAATACTTAAAAACCTTGCCGAAATGTAACATTTGCAAAGCTAATATTATATGTGGTGAACCATTAAAGGATTGGCATGATCTTATTTTATCTAAGGAGTTCAATAATAAATGTAGAAAGCTAACGTATTGTACTCCAGCTTTTATTGGAGCATTATGTGACACATCACAAATTTTAAAAAAAAATATGCCTCTTATATGCTCAAAAAAAAATTTTTTTAATGTATTAAATGCTGCATTAAATGATATGATAAAAATTACCCTTAAAGAAGAATGTGAGCATTCAGCAGTGGTGCAATTAAATTTTTTAAAAAGTTATTCTCTTTTATATTGTCGCAACTGGGCAGCTTCCATAAATAGAATTCTAAATGGAAGGGATCAAAGAATTTTTAATTTTGAAGATAAAGTTATGAAGGCTGCCCAGTTATATTATAAAAAAAGACGAAAAACCTGCAAGGAAAAATAATTTATTTAAATATTTTATAATTTTGTTTTATTTAGGTTATAATGTAATATATTTTAAATGTAATTTATATTTTTGTATTCTAGGAAATTAGGTGTAAATAAAATTTGTAATCTTTTTTATACTTATTAATCTTATAAATTATTTTAATTGTAGGAAATATGGTGTTTTTATTATTTGTGATTTATTTGATTTTTGTTTGATTGTTTATTATTATTATTATTGATTTGTAAATTAATATTTTATTCCATTAAATTATTATTATTATTACAAATGTAAATTATTGTTATTAATTACTACTGTGCTTAATGAAAATGCTGTATCCAACAAATTTTTAATGTTATGTTTATGACGATTTTTTTAGTATAAATAACATTCTACCTTTTCAATTAAAATAAACGTCGCATCTATAAAAGATGCGCATTTTTCTTAGTGATTAAAGGTAAACTATTATTTTTACTGACTAAACCGCCATAAATTCACGTTAAATTTTTTTTGAATTCGGCATTTTCATTAAGCACGTAAATAGCCTCCTAAAACTGAAATAAACAAATAAATAAAATTCAAACTAGGCGCGTTTTATTCATTTAGTTCGCGCAAAAATACTAGATGGCGTGATACCGATTATTATTATGGTAGTTGCCTATCTCGTTTATCTCTGGAACCAGGTTATATTTTAAAATGTGAGGTTATGATGCCACCAAAAATGATGTTTAGTTCAGCTATACTTGGATAGATGGCACTGTTAATAAAATATTTTGTAAATAGATTGCCTACCTACAAAATATCCACATATTTAGAAAACTAAATATTTAAACTAAAGTTGCAACATTTTTGATATCTTTATAATTAGTTCAGTTTTCTTTCGAGCAAATGGCGATGCTTAGTTGCATTTTCCACATAGTTGGAAGTATGTGTATTACACATTGTGTAAACCTAAATATGTTAGATAGGCAACCCAGATTACTTTAAAAACAATTTTTGTAATTTTTTCAGCTTAGCCTCTTGTTGTCGCGTTTTCCACACATACAAAAATGATAATAATATAATATATAATAATATGATAATAAATTTCACTGTGAATATTATTCACTGAATAATTGTTTTTAATCCATTTTCAAGGGATACATAAAAATTTGACATTTGACAGGAACACAGATTTCCCGATTGTTTTATACAAATATTTCGTTTAAATCATTTTTAGATACTAAAGTATTTGTCGTAGAAAAAGTATAGTATGCAACTCGCTTATAAACTTTTCTAGGCACTAATTAATTTAAGTACTTGCTGGCAAGCTCGCTCGTGCCTAAATTAAATTCGTGTCCAAAATGGCGTTTATTAAACTTGATACATAATATAGGTACTATTATCTAGTCCTACATTGACAGGCTGTGACTTTATAGCGTTTTAGTCACAGGATGAAGTTAACAACAGTGGCTTTTGGGCATTTTAGTCACGGGCCAAAGTGAGGTTAAATACCTCAAATGTCAAATAATTATAAATTAAAAATGGCTTTAAATTTATTTCGGTTCGTCATAGATAAAGTATAGTATGCAACTCGTTTTATAAACTTCTCTTGACACTCGCTTTTATTAAATACTTCGCTCGTGCCTAATAACACTCTGCACATCATATACCTACTACTAAAGAATACGGAACATAACCTAGAAACCATGCTAAAACAGCTGTCGGGAATTCATTTGTAATTCATGATAAATCTGTTATAACATCGTGACGTCACTCTTTGAAAATCTTCTGACAATTTCATTTAGAACAGCAAATAGAAGAAGCAGATTGTCAGGTTTTCGCACTCTGAAGAACTCCTGAAAATTTTCATTTAGAACAGCTGATAAAATAGGCAACATTTAAATCCATCGAATATTTGAAGGGAAAAATGGAAAAAATTATAAACACAAAACCAAAAATTTGGAGAAAAAATCTAAATGACCCAGGAAAAACTTGAAGAGTCCTCACACAAAAAAAATGAGCTTGATGAAGATAAACTAATTCAGAGAAAATAAAAGAAATTCAGTTGGCTATTGAGGAAGAACAAAAACGATTGGAAGAAATAATTATTTCTTAAGAAGCAGAAAGAAGAATTTTTCCTAGAAGGCCAAAACGCTTAAAGAAACGAAAACCGAAACTAAACCTTAAAATAAAATTGTCCTGAAAAGGGTTAAGAGGAATGTTAGTAGTGAAAATAAATGTCAAATTAATTAATCACTGCTTTTTTATTTTCAAAAACATTGACGACATAATTACAACGTTTACATAAATCATCTGGGGTTTCTGATTGGACTTTCCTACATCTTGGGCAAGAGTGCAGACTGCTTGGTGTTATTTCTATATCCATTTTCTCCAGAGTGGGACTTTCTTCCACTTTTACGCTGGAAATTTGGAGGATGTCGACCAGTTCGCTCTCCAAGTCTTGTAAAGAAATAAATTCCTTAATAGTGTTTGCGATTTTCTTGGGAATCTTCAATTTAACGGAACTCTTTAAGGTGTTTGATTGGAGCTGCTTGTTCATTAATTTTTTCGCCGACAAAATGATATCCATAACCTCCTCTACTTTAGGGTTCTGCCATTGGTCACTTGCGTGCAAATGTGTGGTTCTAAAGTATGTACTTTTCTTGCCGGGTAAATTCAGGTACATTTCTTCCACCAGGTGCGGCACAATACCGGCTATCGCTTGCGATAAAATCTCGAATAATTGATACAAAACAAACTGCGCAGATTTCCTGGTCAAATTATCTTCCAAATCGCAGTAGAGTCTATCCTTGATGGAGGTATAATACAAAGCGGACACACCGTTAGTCAGGAGGTTAATAACAGAAATACAAACTTTCTGGAACTGATAATTTTCAATGTCATTTTTCACCTGACTATTGAAATTATACAACAAGTGCAGCATATATTTGTCCACCAATAAAAGATCTTGATACTGCACAGGCTCGTAATCGTAATTCGAGAGAGCTCCCAAAGTAAACCGCAGCACGGATCGAATTTTTTGGATCTCGTCTTGACTGGACTTCAGCACGTTCGTGCTAACGTGGGCCATGGAATCCTGGTTGGCGTGGCAAGCCACCCACCACCTGAAAATTTCGAGTTCTGAAACAAACGATTCCCCAACCTAACGAGGCAAAACTTGCCTTAGCACGTCCACTCCGTAAGGTTTGTTCTTTTTCCCTCCCTTGAGGATTTCCAGCGGTTCCACGACGTTCCCAACCGACTTCGACATTTTGCTGCCGTTTTCGTCGACAGCGAAACCGTGCACGTAAATAGATTTGTAGGGCGCCTTGTCCCTTATTGCCACGGAAGTGAGCAAAGACGACTGAAACCAACCCGTAAATTGATCGACGCCTTCTAAATATAAATCCGCCACTTTTCTTCCGTCGAGAACTTTTGACCATGTTGTGCCACTGTCAAACCAAATATCAAGAATGTCCTGTAACATTTTTATTAGAACAATATTGAATTTTGGCTGGGAAATTTACTTTGCCCTTTTCTAAACCGCCATTTTCTGATGGAATTAGTTCTTGGCAGACATGATGATCTTTCATTTAGAACAGCAAATAGACGAAGCAACATTTAAACTCATCGAATATTTGAAGGGAAAAGTCGAATAAATTACAAAAACAAAAATTTAGAGAAAAAATCAAAATGACCCAGGAAAAACTTGAACAGACAAGAAAAATAAACATGATGAAGGTAAACTAATGAACAGTAAATTGTCAGAGAAAATAAATATTCAGTTGGGCATTGATGAAGAACAAAAACGATTGACAGAAATAAGAAACAGAAAGAAGAATTTTTCCTGGAAGGCCAAAACGCTTAAAGAAACGAAAACCGAAACTAAACCTTAAAATAAAATTGTCCTAAAAGTGTTAAGAGGAATGTTAGTAGTAAAAATAAATGTCTAATTAATTAATCACTGCTTTTTTATTTTCAAAAACATTAACGACATAATTACAACGTTTACATAAATCATCTGGGGTTTCTGATTGGACTTTCCTACATCTTGGGCAAGAGTGCAGACTGCTTGGTGTTATTTCTATATCCATTTTTTCCAGAGTGGGACTTTCTTCCAGTTTTACGCTGGAAATTTGGAGTACGTCGACCAGTTCGCTCTCCAAGTCTTGTAAAGAAATAAATTCCTTAATAGTGTTTGCGATTTTCTTGGGAATCTTCAATTTAACGGAACTCTTTAAGGTGTTTGATTGGAGCTGCTTGTTCATTAATTTTTTTGCCGACAAAATGATATCCATAACCTCCTCTACTTTAGGGTTCTGCCATTGGTTACTTGCTAGCAAATGTGTGGTTCTAAAGTATGTACTTTTCTTGCCGGGTAAATTCAGGTACATTTCTTCCACCAGGTGCGGCACAATACCGGCTATCGCTTGCGATAAAATCTCGAATAATTGATACAAAACAAACTGCGCAGATTTCCTGGTCAAATTATCTTCTAAATCGCAGTACAGTCTATCCTTGATGGAGGTATAATACAAAGCGGACACCGCGTTAGTCAGAATGTTATTAACAGAAATACAAACTTTCTGGAATTGATAATTTTCAATGTCATTTTTCACCTGACTATTGAAATTATACAACAAGTGCAGCATGTATTTGTCTACCAATAAAAGATCTTGATACTGCACAGGCTCGTAATCGTAATCCGAGAGCGCTCCCAAAGTAAACCGAAGAACGGATCGAATTTTTTGGATCTCGTCTTGACTGGACTTCAGCACGTTCGTGCTAACGTGGGCCATGGAATCCTGGTTCGCGTGGCAAGCCACCCACCACCTGAAAATTTCGAGTTCTGAAACAAACGATTCCCCAACCTAACGAGGCAAAACTTGCCTTAGCACGTCCACTCCGTAAGGTTTGTTCTTTTTCCCGCCCTTGACGATCTCCAGCGGGTCCACGACGTTCCCAACCGACTTCGACATTTTGCTGCCGTTTTCGTCGACAGCGAAACCGTGCACGTAAATAGATTTGTAGGGCGCCTTGTCCCTTATTGCCACGGAAGTGAGCAAAGACGACTGAAACCAACCCGTAAATTGATCGACGCCTTCTAAATATAAATCCGCCACTTTTCTACCGTCGAGAACTTTTGACCATGTTGTGCCACTGTCAAACCAAATATCAAGAATGTCCTGTAACATTTTTATTAGAACAATATTGAATTTCGGCTGGGAAATTTACTTCGCCCTTTTCTAAACCGCCATTTTCCGACGGAATTAGTTCTTTTGATGGTAGTTTCCACCAGAAATCCGTACCATGGAGGTCTATCATGTTGCAGTAATGGTTTATGGTTTCTCTAAAAGGTGTTTGATTACATTACACCATAAAAATGTTTTTAAGGGGTCCACTTATACAATACTTACTCATTACACACGACCTTTGAGGACTCTCTCTCATAAAAAACCGGAATGGGAACCCCCCACTTCCTTTGCCTAGAAATGCACCAATAAGGTCTTTTCTTGATCTGATTGATCAAGTTTTTCTTGTAAATCTCGGAACTGATTTTCGGAATGATATTTACTTTCTCTAAAACTTCAACGGCTCTATTTTTGATAGAGTCCGTATCAATGAACCATTGTTTGCTAGCTCTTATTATCACAGGTTTTTTGGTCCTCCAGTCATACGGATAACTGTGTGTGAGTTCTTCAGAATGTAGAATGTCTTCTTTAAGAAGGTTTAGGATTGTTTTGTTTCCCTCTGTGAGTACGAATTTGCCTTTAAAATTGTCCCCGGATTCTTCTTTATAGCAGCCTTTTTCATCTACCAAATCCACCTATATAGGTATAATATTAAGTATTGTTTTTTTTTGTTCAATTTTTTTCCAAAATTGACTTTTATTTGTTAAATTTAATTATTTTACGAATATTTATTGATATAAAGTAATTGAACCAAAGTTTATAGTGACGTTAAAAAAATGTATAAATTTGCCAATATTAACAAAGATATGATGCTTTTTGACATAAAAAAAAATTTCAATCATTTTAACATTGTTTTTATGTAAAATATTAGAGACAGTGTTCCCGAGATTTTTGATCCTAATAATTGAAAAAGTACTTGTAGAGTACTTGCGTGGTATTTTTGGTACCCCCTGTATACTTTTAAAAAACTTACAATTGAAAATTTGTTATTTAAGGCCACTTTGAAGTCGTCTGGTCCATGCGCCGGCGCAGTATGGACCAATCCAGTCCCTTTGGAATCACTTACATGTCCAGCATTATAAAACCTACACTCTCTATCCTTATATACAGGGTGAACGTATTGAACGTTCGACAAGGTTTTACCGGATATGGTGGAGAGAATTTCGAAGTTGTGGTTTAACTTTTCCGAGAAACTTTTCACCAAATCAGTGGCGATTAAGTAGACGTTTGAGTCTTTTTTGATGAATGAGTAGGATAGTTTGTTGTTGTAGCAAATTGCTTGGTTTGAAGGGAGGGTCCATGGGGTTGTTGTCCATATTACACCATAGACTCTGTAATTTTAGACAACTGGTTCAAGATTTTTCATAAAAAAAAATGTTTTGATAATAGAAAAAAACATTTTTTTTAGAATTTAAAAGAACTCTCTAAATATGTCATTACAAACAAAATGGACTGGCCTTTCCCATTCAAAATACACAATGTTTTGTTGCCAAGAACGATTTAGATTAGGGGTAAAGGAGTAAGGGGAGGGGTGTTTATAAACAAGTTCCCACACCAGTGGCGTTCTGTTTTCAGGGATCATAATTTAAATAAAAATATTAAAAATAAATAAAAACATTAAATTGTACATTTTTTATTGTGTTTTTCAATCCTATGTAAAAATTATATTTAATATATATAAATATATAGGTATAACAAAATACTAACCTTGTCGGTTTACCAGGTGAACCACTAATTATTTGGCTATTATTTCCCTCAATAAAAAATTCAAACTCTGAAGCAGTTAGTGTTCCAGATGATGTAAAATCTGTCTCTTTAAATCTAAAATTTAACTGAATTCTTTTATTTATTTATTCAGTTTCTACGCCCCTGGCAGGTTTTGTTTTGTAAATAAACTAACCTATAAAAAGAAAGTTTTAAATTCTTGGATCCAAGTCTTTTACAAAAGTAACACTGCTTCACCATTTTTATATCACTCACTATTGGTATTTTTCACTATAAAATCAAATTAAAAATATTAAATAAGTTGTGGATTGCAAGTATCTTTTACGTAAAATATAGATAATTCAAAGCAAATAAAGTCAGATGTGACAACTGAGGGAAAATATTTATTTTTGTTCCTTTCCACTCTTTTCAATGTAAATAAACCGGTCCATTTGTTTGTTGGTCTGTGGTTAGTGCGGTATTTTTGGTAAATATTAAAATTACTTACTTGCAATTGTTGATATCAAATTCAAGATTTGGTAGATTTTTTAACTCAATTTTTACGTAAATTGCTGGGCTTTTATGGTTTTCATTGTACTCCAACTCAGCTTCTGCTAAAGCAGTTCTAAAATATAAAAAATACAAACAAAAATACATTAGAAATGTCAAGGTTTAACACAAAAAAGCGTTGCCATGGCAACGATTTCCATAGCAACCATACGGTTGCTAGAGATTTGTTTACCGTTGCTAGGGACGCTATTTTTCATTGTTACCAACCATAAGGTGTATGTATCTTGGTTACCAACAACGAACGATTTTGAATTCAAACCGTTTTTCCAAATTAATAAAAAACACGCAATTTTTTTAATTTTATCTTTACCTAGATGATGGCGACCAAAAAATGGGTTTTACATCTCTATAAATCAACCCTTTTTCGTAAATCTTATAAAAAACCCTCAACTGATTTTTGACATACTCCGGACTGTAAGTTGTGTAATGATTTTTCCAGTCCCCTAATATTCCCCATGCTTTAAACATCTCCATTTGTTTTTCTATGGTTTCTTTAGCAAATTGGCGAGCTTGAAACCAAAAATTAAATTTTTTTCCACTGTGAAAAATTATTTTGAATACCTTTTGTCCTTATTTCAATGGGGTTTAATTTTTCCGAATTACTAATGGCTTTTAATTCAATCGGTAAACCATGACAGTCCCATCCAGGAATATAATGAACTTTGATTCCATTTAACGATTTATACCTCAATATGGTATCTTTAAGAATCTAAAGTTTTAAAATTTTAATATATTTAAGCATCCAGAGCATTATTATTACCTTATTAATGGCATGTCCCATATGTAAGGGCCCATTTGCATACGGGGGTCCATCGTGTAACACATACTCTGGTTCTGACAAATTACCTTGCTGCCATCCATAATACTCTTCAAAATTGGCAACCTTTAATAAAATACTAATAAAAAAAACTATAAGACCACGACAAAAATCCTTACTTTATTTATATTTTCATCTCGATCCAACAATTTTTTATTTTCTAACCTAAGCGGAAAATCTGTCTTCGGCAGTAAAACTGTGCTGGTATAAACTTTCTTACTCGATTTATCGGTGCTGTAATACAATTTCTGTATTTGTTTGTTGCAAATTATTCTTGTAATCATTTTCAAAACATTTCTGTACAAAAAGTGAGGTTATGTTATTTTATGAGGTTAGGATTTGTTTAAATTACAATTTCCTGTTGATAGTTTATGAAGATTCAGATAGATGTCGCCTCCATAGTTTGTCTATTTTAACTAACCTAAAAATTGTTTCTGCCGATTTTGAACGTTAAAAATGGTAGTATTAACGTATTTTGTGATTTATTTAATTTAATTTGGTGTGTTTTTAGTTATTCTACTCGTTCTTCAAGTCCTTGGTGGGTAAGGATGTCGTGGTGGAGTTAAAAAACGATTTAAGGTAAATCATAAGAATTCTTAACGTTTTTCGTTTTAAAATATAGTTTTTTTAGTATTTGTGGCACACTACACTCAGTAGACCAATATTTGAACATTAAGCTTTCTGATATAACTGTGACGGATACAGAAAAATACCCACACATGGTAAGAAATCATTATAAAAATAAAATTGTTTCGGTATGTTTATAACATTTTTTAGTTGTCAGTAAAGAACTGTTTTATAAGAGGATCAGTGGTGAGATATGTCCAATTACCAGCTGATGAAGTAGATACACAATTACTTCAGGATTCAGCTAGGAAAGAAGCCTCTGCTCCTACAAGATAATTTTAGTTGATTTAGATGAATATTTAATTTTAAGAATAATTACTGTAATTAAGTAAAAATTAAGATTATAAGTGGTTCTTTATAAATTATTATTTTTTCATGTTTTCCTTCCGTTTCTTAAAATTTTATTTTAACATTTTCATTTTGAAAAACTTACTTAATTTTCCTTGTTAAGAAACAAACAGTGAATTAATCAAATACTCATACCTTAAAATGTACAAAAATGTGTTACATTACTGAAGAAATTTTTGAAATATCTTTAATAATATTCCAAGAAATATTTTGTATTTTTTCCAATCTGAGCTTAAGACCGCAATCAATATTCCCAATGCTCCAGGAATATTCCCTGGAATGATCCGGCACATTCCCGGAGCATTTTTTGGGAATATGTCTGAAACAATCCTTCAGGAATATTCTCTACTTCACTGGAATAATCCGGCGCATTTCAGAAGCTTTTTTTGGGAATATGTCTGAAACAATCTTTAAGAATAATTAAAGGACACAACATTTAAGTTATTGTAAAAATTATTATTACCCAGACTGCAATGAAGGTTTGAAAATATTCCAGGAATATGCCCTTTCATCTGGGAATAATCCGCTTCATTCTAGGAATATTCATTGGGAGTATTCCATAGAATGATCCTTTAAAACTTCCAAGCACCATCTAAAAACATTCCCAGTGAATATCCATTGGGAATATTTCATAGAATGATCCTCTACAACTTCCAAGCAACATCTTGGAACATTCCCAGTGAATGTTCTTTATATTCAAAAAACAATAAATAATTTTCACTTTCTATGAATTTGTTATATTCCAGGAATAATCCGCTTCATTCTAGGTATATTCATTGGGAATATTTCATAGAATGATCCTCTAAAACTTCCAAACATCATCTAAGAACAATCCCAGTGAATATTCAGTGTGCTTCCTGGGGTTGCTTACGCACGCTTGATAAGTATATATACCGATAGGTATAGAAGTACCTATAATAAAATATAAAAATATTAGCCTGAAAATGGCCATTGCTAGACCTTATCACAACAGCCTTTTATTAAAATTATTATTTTTAATAAAACATTTCTCTAAAGGCTTTGGCTAAAAATGCAATTATTAAGTAATAAACATAACACTACCCACCTGTTGTATAAATTTAAAATAAATATATTTCTTTTTAGATATTACATAATACTTCATTAGACTAGACTTATTTTGACTATTTTTACCATTTATTTTTATTTACCAAAATATTGCAAAAACCAAAAATCACACTTGTTCTGTCTAAAAACTGTTAATTTTTACTGCAGAAATTTAAATGAAACACCTTTGTTAAATTAATTGTTTATTTAGGTACATGTGATTGATGTCATTTAAAAGTTAATACTAAAGGGAGTAAAATACATAGCGTTTATCTTATGAGCCAGCCGACAAGCTGAATCCTCCGGATACTTGTGCACTGATGACGACTCCACCGGATACCTCAGCCAAGCAGGAGCCGGCCGCGGTGTTGCCAGCAGTAGCATTACTAGAGACGCCGGGAATTACGATGGTTGTAAACTGGGCTGCGATCCACGACTGGATGTAAACCAGGATTGATCCGCTAGCGCTTATGAGGGACCATAGGGATTTTCCGGAGACGGCTGCGCTCACACAAACGCTGAGAGAGGAGTAAATGGTACCAACGTATGGGATTATTTTGATTACACCTTCCCAGCCTCCTATGAGGGCGGATAGAATCGAGAATACGTTGAAGTTGGCCCAAAGGTTGGCGGAGATGGTTCCAAGGGCTGGAATCACCTTGACGATGAGGGCTTTTCCGAGAGAAGTGCTCAGCAGACCGATTAGGTGCAAGAAAAGAGTTGGGATGGATATAGAGATGTCTACAATGACGGTAATGGCAACTAGTAACTGGACTATGAATTGTAAGGCGCTTTGGCTCCCTCCAGAACAGTAAGAAATGAACCAACCGCAGGAGACACCGGAGAGTTTCAATGTTTTTTGTTCGATGCCCTGAATCAAGGTAGTAAGGGCAGCGCTGGCGGTTCCATTTCCGCCGATTTGGGCAACCAAATCTTTAACGATGGATATTTCCGCCGATAAGTTCAGCGAACCGGACAAAGATACGGCGAACTGCAAGGCGATGTTGATGAAAACGTCGAGGGAGATTTTCTTTTGCGCCAGAAGAACGATTTGAGCCAGTACGTTGAAAGCGCCGTCGATTGTCCCCGACACCACACTGCCGCCAAGTTGGGCAATCAGGAGGACAACAGCTTCAACATTAACCAAGATTGGAGCGATTACCTCTACGGATACCTTCGCAAGAATGTCAACCAGGATCACCACGAGGATTTGCGTGCCGGATACCGCTCCCAGGACGATGTCGAGCTTGATTTGGACACCGGCGGCCACCAAAGCAGCTACACCTCCAGAGCAACCAGCTGCGATTGAAGCTACAGACGCCAAAACGTTAGCCAATACAATCAGGGAACTCTTGAGGACTATCACTTTGTAGACACCGACTATTTGGAGGACGACTTTCAACGAAGCGACCAAAGATTTCGAAAGGGTTAGCGATAGTTTCAGCCCCTCGGAAACAGAGACTGTGACTCCTCCTGAAAGGCCGGCTACGATGGTAGCTGCAAGGGTTAACACAGCGTTGCTAGCGGAGCTAACGGAGAAAGAAATGGCGCCGGAAATCTGCAGGAATACTTTAAGCGACGATACAGATGAGAACCATACGGCAAAATCAGCAGTGGCTGCCACCCAAACAAGAGTGGAGACTCCAGCGTTGATGAGCACTCCAGTGCTGGCTTGGATGTCGATAGCAATAGCAGCACCGGTCTTCCCGTTGACCAGAAGAGTGATGTTTTCGTTGATGTTTAACACCAGGGCTAATGATGCGGTTTGGTTAACCACGGCAACTATGCCCAAGGTTGCGTTGATGTAAAGCTGTAATCCCCCTGGAGGGACGGTTGTGGGTGGGAGAGAACATTGAATTTGACATTGGTCGGACGCTGTTCTTGATTGGGAAACATGGTGGTGTTTTTCGTGCTGTTTTTGATGGTGTGAAGACAGGTCTCTTGCATAACGATATTCTGCAAATAAAAATGCGTTAATTATTAAAAAAACTGATTAAATGCAAGCAATGTTCGAGAGGGAAAGAGATCACTTGAAAAATGACAGCATTATCACGACTTTCAATTTAAAGTTGTGAACTGTTTTAAGGAGAACATGAGCAGTAACATAGCAACTATATTGTGTATGTACTACAAATATACATATGAGGCCATTATTTGCAAAATTCTGTCTTTGCTATTTAGTTTACTCTTCAGGAGAAATACAAAACTTTTTAGCTTGAACTCAAATTATTTTTTCGGTTAATTTTTTTTTCAATTCATTAAATATGCATGACTAATAAATATGATAATCGTAAATATGAATCTCCTATAGTTTTTTAGAAAAAAAAATGTTTTTTGCAAATAGAGAGTTTTGAAAAGAAAAAGGTAATCACAGTGAAATTAAACGTTAATTTATACACCAACTTGTAACATTAAAAATATGTTTTGAAAAAAACCAAAAATCAGTATGCAAACGAAAAAAACTAAAATTATACGTTTGACACACGTCTTGATCATCTTCACTTTTTTTTAACTTTTACCATCTTGATCTTCAATAATTTTGTAGAAGGCTAATTTTGGTAGTTTTATCCAATCTTCGCCATAATGTTTAACCAGCTAACCAATAATGGAAGTTTTATCCCCTTTAAGTTTCTTGCTTAGCGGCACTTCAACTGCTCTCTAAAAATTAATTAGTCAAAAATGACTAATTACTACAGTAACTGTTATTAGTGGCTGCTTTTTCACTTATACCATGGGATAGCATGGTATCCATGATTTAATAGCCAGTTCCTATGTAAACTTGTATGCGCATAATCCGAAAATGTTGTCAAAAGTTTTTGAGGTATAGTCAATTTTCCATTTAATATGGAATTGACTATATCTCAAAAACTGCTCTACTTTTATAATTTTTAAGAGTATTTTCGGATTCAGGGGACAATTTTACATAAAATATTATATCGGGGATACCGTGATATCCCATAGTATACCATGGTATAAGTGAAAAAACGGCTGTAGTAATTAGTCATTTTTGAATAATTCATTTTTAGAGAGTGGCTAAATGGATGTAAAGAAAAACTAACCGATAACTCTTTAACCGATTTTATATAGCAAAAAAGCAGTTTTGAAACGATTTAAAGATGGCAATACATTCCTTATCAAAAATCTAATAAAATTAGCGAAACAAGTGAATTTTGATTATTTTGTCGATTATAGACTTTTGCAAATAATGGCCTCACATGTAGGTTGTCAAAGCTATCTGCTCACCATTGCTAACTTCGTTATTGTTGGAAATACAGGTTCTAGCTACAGTTAAAATACAAATTGGTGGCATTTTTTCTTCTGAATAAAATGGCGAAAACAGAAAAACAATTGAATTCTAAATTTAAAATTAAAAAACTAATAAGCAATTGAAAAAATAATTTGGTTATTTCAACAACCTTTAGAAAGTTCAAGTGCTTATTAATTGTTTATTTTTATGTTTTGTTCCAAATTAAATTACTTTTCAAAATTTGTAAAGATATAAAAAATGTTATTTTTGTGAATATTTAGGAAACCCGACGTTCAATTGTTGTTCTGTTTTCGCCATAGAAAAAAAAGTCACCAATTTGCTATGTATAGCTATAGCTCCAATAATAACGAACGAATTTGGCTGGAATTTTTATAATATATCACTTTCCTGTTATTTAAATATAACAGAAATTTAAAAAAATGCTCATTACTTTTTTAAAAAGATATCAAATTGTCAGTCAGACAATTTTTGTAAAAGGATAAAAATGTTTAAGAAATATGGTATTTAATAGAAATAAAAATTATGAAAAGTTACTGGAATGGTTAAAAAGAGGAATGTGGAATTTAAAATTAAGAAAATTAAAATGGTTTGGCGGCACCAGTTATATAACTGTTTTGTTAAACTATTATACAGTAAAATATACAATTAAATTAATAAATAAAATAAATAAATAAAAAACTGACTAATTAATATGTTTCTTTCGCAAATGCCATAGAGGCCAACTTTAAACACATTTATTTATTTTTTTTTATTATAGGAATAAATTTAGATGGCAGAAAAAATATACTTACAGAAAAGTTAGCACGATCGATTTTTTAATGGTAATTTTTTCAACTTTTTTTTTATTATTAAACACTTTTTAGAAAAAAATACAGCAAAACATGTAGTAATGAAATTTTCAGTTTTCCATTAAATAAATAGAACATGACTGAATAGTTTTAGTATTTTTTTCTTAATTTTGTTTAAAAATAAAAAAATTAAATTTTGAAAAGTTTGAAAATTTTTTTAGACTGTCAACAAAATTTGTTTTGTCAAGTGAAAAAAGACTAGTCGTTTAAAAAAATTAGTAGCTACGAATAGGTATATAAATATTATTAATTAGTACGTTATAAATTTTCGGGGTAATATTCTAGTAATTTTTAAATAAAAAAAAATGTTACTTACCGTGAGCAAGAGTGGAGCAGAGCAGCACACTGAATAAAATGGAAACTAATTGAGTCTTCATCGTTGTTGTTTCCCAACTAACTTTTCGAGTAGACTTCCGCTTTTTATATTCAAAACCTAAAAAATTGTTCTGCGTAAAGGCATAATATTAAATATTATATTATATTTTTTGAATTTTTTCACAGCTTAGAATGCCTTATTTTATGATTGTAAAAATACCGTTTGTGAAAAAAGTTGTTTACAAAATACATACAATATTTCTGTTTTGTAAGAATGCATAAAATACCTATACTTACCTTGCATGTTTTAATAAAATTAAACAAAGTAATTTACCAGAGGTACACATGAGTATAGGGTGTAAATTTCAAAAGTTATGCTCAATTTAAAGAAAATTGTTAAACTTTTTTGTTGACCATTAATTTGATTGACACAAATGCAAATTTTTTACGGAAGCTAATAATAACACTTTTAAAAATACCTACTAATGAATGTAAAGAAAAAATGAAGATCCGAAATCACTTTCGTATCTTAACAATATATCTAACTAAATAATTTAAATGCTGATTTTTTTTTTAAATCACCGAAATTTCGTGTACCGTAATTGAAAATATTGGAATAATTGGGAAAATTCCTACTCCAAAAAAGTTTCGGCCACAGTCCTATATACAGGGTGTCCTGAAATTAGTGCACCATACTTTAACAGCAGATTCTACATGCTAAAATAAGAAAAAAAGTCCCTATAAACATAGGTCAAGAAATGCCTCTTAAGGGAGCTACAGCCCCCAAAAGGAAAGCCCCTGAAGATGGTTTTTATTTAATATCTCCAAAACCGTTAAAGATAGAAAAGTGAAATTTGGGGAATTAATTAAACTTTTTATGACCAATAAGATGTAATAATAACAATTTAAAAAAATTCATGAGGTTTGGGTCAGATTGATAGGAAGTGGGGTTAAAACCACCTTAACTTTTTTGTACGAATCTTGTACCAGAATTTGATGTCAGATTATGAAAATTTGGAGTTTTTCACATAAAAAAGGTCATCTTGTTGAACTTTGATAACATACACCATTTTCGCTTAAAATCGATTTGAAAATTATTTTACATGGCATAAAAATTCACAATTAAATCACAACCATAGAAATGGACTCGCGTGGTCTTTGGAATACGGCTGCCATGTTTAGGAAAAAAATAGAAAAATTTAAGACAGGTGACAGTTTCATGTAGTAAGTGACAGGGTGTTTCTACTTTTTTATAAATGGGTCAGAATTTCTCAAACGGGCCACCTGAATTAGGTCAAAATTAGTTTTTGATTGTAGATACATTTTTTCGATAGTATTTTACATCACTAACACAAATCCTAAAGGATTTTGTAAAAAAAAAATTTTCAATTGACATATTCATGATATTAAAAGTAAAAGTTTTTAGTAATTAAAAAATAAAAAAAAATCATTATGGCTAAACTAATTATCCGATTCCAACGATTTAACTAGCGTTGGAATCTTGTTTTGACATAGATTCTTTGTTATTTTTTTCAATTGTACAATTTTCATTTAGGTCGTTTTTTTTTTTGTTTTTTTTATAACAAATTCGGAAATAATTGGCTTCTGCGCCAGCTATCGACTCGAAAAAAAAAACACATATACTCCAATCATTTTTCGAAATTATGCTGCTGAGAAAAAAATGGCCCGCAGGTTCCAGACCACCGTAAGACGTCGCGTCACAAGCGCGTACAGCGTACACGGTTCGGAGCGTGAGCTGACACCGCGCGCGGCCACAAAAGGACGAATAACTTTTTGTCAACCTGCGGGCCATTTTTTTTCTCAGCAGCATAATTTCGAGAAATGATTGGAGTATATGTGTTTTTTTTCTCGAGTCGATAGCTGGCGCAGAAGGCAATTATTTCCGAATTTGGTATAAAAAAAAACAAAAAAAAATCGACCTAAATGAAAATAGGACAATTGAAAAAAATAACAAAGAATCTATGTTAAAACAAGATTCCAACGCTAGTTATATCGTTGGAATCGGATAATTAGTTCAGCCATAATGATTTTTTTTATTTTTTAATTATTAAAAACTTTTACTTTTAATATCATGAATATGTCAATTGAAAATTTTTTTTTTTACAAAATCCTTTAGGATTTGTGTTAGTGATGTAAAATACTATCGAAAAAATGTATCTACAAACAAAAACTAATTTTGACCTAATTCAGGTGGCCCGTTTGAGAAATTCTGACCCAAATATTAGATAAAAACCATATTCAGGGGCTCCCTTTTCGGGGGCTGTAGCTCCCTTAGGAGGCATTTCTGGACCTATATTTATAGGGACTTTTTTTCTTATTTTTGCACGTAGAATCTGCTGTTAAAGTATGGTGCACTAATTTCGGAACACCCTGTATAGACTGCATATATGCATAAATAATGTACCTACCTATGTAGGTAAGTATTAAATTTTAAAGGTTAAGTAGGTAAATCAGTTGTTAAATATAAAGATGGGAATTTCTTTTTAAGTGGGATAACATACAAAAGATTGTCATAACGAATAAAGATTTTTCAAAATAATTTTTTTTTCTATAACCCCCTTAAAAAATCTATTAGGTAACAATTTGTATTACTAATTTATTACTAAATGTTTAAAGTGTCCCCAATTTACATTCAAGCATTTCTTAATTCCTACTTCTTCATTAGACGTTGCTCTTCTTCTCAAATAGTGTTTGTATAATATATTACTTTTAAATTTTAAAAATGTTTGGCTTGTCAAATTGTTATCAGTTATATTGTTTACAAAACAATTAATTAGTTAACAAATTGTTTAAATCAACATGAAAAATTGATGCCATTAAATTTTGAACAATGACAGATTACGTGGTAACCATAGATACCGTCAACTCACCCGTCACAGGTTTCTTGATACAAAATAATATTTAAAATTTTAGAAATTGTTAAATATCTCTGAAATTAAGTGTTGGGAATAGTTTTTTAATTTACTATTTGTTTATGTAAAAACAACCCGGTTAAACCGGAAGTGGCATTTTATTTAAAATATTTTAGAAAATAACAATTAAAAATAGAAAATTTGTATTGCAACATATACTTACTTACTTATATATGTGTGGTAAGTATATGTATTGCAAATACACATGCGACACCTAGCGAATTATTAATATTCCATCCGTGATAGTTTCACGGAAAACTGTAATTTTATTATTGAGGTGGGTATTAGGCAGCCCACGTTACATCTGAACAAACCTGCCTGGGAAAGTCTTTAAGAACTTTATTTTTTGATGATTTGTTGTTAATAGAGTAGGTGTTTTATAATCTTATAAATATAATTTGTTTAACTTTATTTTTTAATGTTCTTTTTTGTTATAAGAGAAATACTTAAAAGCTGATTTTTTTGTTTTTTTATAATTGTATAAATTCTAGTATTACTACAACCAAGTTGGTTGAACCAACAATTCTTGAAATTGATGTCATCTTTGGATAAGGTTATTATTCCTACATAACATGCATTTTTTTTATTAATATTATATATTATTAGAGTAGTTTTTTATTATTGTATAAATATAATTTGTTTACCTGTTCTAGTTTTATTTTAACCAACAATTCTATAAATTTAAGTAATCTTTGGATAAGGATATTAGTACATAACACATGCATTTTTTTATTAATATTCTAAACATTTGCTTGTAAATTTTGTTTACAAAACTTGTCAAACAAATCTATTATTTTTCATTTAATTTTCTTAGTTTCTTTAAGAAACTTTCTTGACCCATTTCTGGTAATATTCATAAGAAAAAAATTGAACCTACACCTCGCCAAAGTTTTTTGTTTTGAGTGCGTTCCACAAACTGAATGTTTGGAAAAAAATCATTGTTAAAAATAGAATAAAATTTATAATTTAATAATGGTATATTATTATAAAAGAATACAATTTGACCATTCTTATACATATACTAATAGTGAAGTGAAATAAATACAACTTTTTATTTATTAGGAATAACATATTATGTTATATAATTTTGATACTAAAGAAAATGTTATTATATTTTTTATTTGTTACTATGTTCCGTCTCCTCGACCAAATCTGATCTTTTATATTTATATGTTCTTTATTACGAACTCTATGAACTATGAAAGCATTAACCAGGCGATTATTTGGAGCCACCAGCAAATATATTTTCTCAAGGCATTTAAAGAATACAAGGATTTTTTCGAACTGAATCCCCCGGCCATACTATTGTCTGCGACTGTACATCCTATTCAACATATTATCGTTGATTGTATTTAGCGCGACATGACTTGTAACTTTCAGCCAGTGGAATTCTGCACACCAAGGACATTTCAAAGAGTGACTAATAACGTAGTGTTGTGGATAATTTACTACACAATGTCCAATTTAAAAATGCATTTACATTGGATTAGATAATGATTTATGCAAAAGCAACTGATCCCACATGAACTTTAATTTATTGAGTTTTCCATATTCTTATGAGATAGATAGTTACACCTTTTTTTAATTAAGTGACAGGATTTTTTGTTCTATTTTTTAAATTATATACATATTCTTACAAAAGTGTTAATTCATGTATTTTATTTTATGGCTATAGAAAATTGCTTGTAATTTTTTTAAATATTTACTTTAATTTAAAATAAATATTTACTTATTTAAGTAAATACAAGTTTTTTTGTATCTTTTGCCAGACATTCCATTAACAATTGGTTTATTGTTATTCCCGAAATTCATTTTAAAGTCAATGGGATTTTCCATTATTGGAACATATGTTCTAAGGAAACATTTAGGTACCTTTTACTTGAGTCATTTGAATTTTTTGAATTTAATTTGTTTTTTTATTTAAATCGCTTAATCTTGTCCGATTGAGCTCAAATTTGTAGGGAATTTTTTTGTTGACTATCCAAATGATCTTGTATAAATTTAAAAAAAAATTGATTTTTTGAATCATCCTACAATACTAAATAACATATACAGTAGTGGCCATAATTAGAGCAACCACTGTAAAAAAAAACTCCAAAACGCCTTTATTAATCTTTAAGAAATTTTGGATAAAAATACTTCAACTTATATCTCAGTTTACGTGTTTG